TTCTGTCTCAAGCTGTGGGACATCTGATTGCTATGACTGATTCATACTCATTTTTCGTTCGCAAATTGGGTTTAGAGACCACCTTATTTCATTTAAGCTGATAAGGCTAGTTGCATTTTCCCACACTCATATGAGTAGAACTTACGCCTCCATTGAATTTCACATAGCCTTGATTTCCCAAAGGCTATTCTCATCCAGACTCTGAAACTTCAACTACCAGTTCAGCATCCACCTTCATCATTCTAAGCCAAATACGTTAAACTTATGCAATATGTCAGATTTAAACTCGTTTATGCAAGAAGAAGGTGGGAAGAGAAACCGGGTTTCGATGAATCTCTTCAGATAACATTGTTTGTGGGACTTTCATTTCGTACGATAGCTCAGCACGTTTTCACCCGAAACTGGGGAGGAAGTCTCGTGGACTGCCTCAACATGAATATCACAGATAAACCAAACGGCTGCAGTACAACTAGATTTATCCGTCCTCATCTGGTGAGATCGACCAACGAATCATTTCTTCATGCACTTTCACACGAAATGAAAGTCCCCCTAACAATGAAAAGTTGCTTTTATAATGATCCCTTAGAAAGCTGATATTGAATCTATCCCTTCCCAAAAGTGACCCAAAGTCTTAAGCATGATGGTTCTAAGATTAGAATTTGATTCAAATTTTGGTACCAAAACGGATTTCTCGACTTCTCGCATGCACCTGACAGGGAAAGGAGCAATTGAGAGGTTCGTCCTTAAAAGCTGTTGCCACATACTTGCAGAGGCTGGACTTGGCCGGAGGCAATGTGGAATTTCTCTTCTCCTGCCATCTGGTCGGCGCGGCCCTCGTCCGAATAGCGTTGCGGACGTCGCCATCGCTTGGTACCGAGTGAATTGCGACCCAACGAAGTACTGCCAATCTGGCCGGCCGAGGCAGCCCAGTTGGCTCTGCGACAGGCACGATCACACGCATTGCCGCCAGTTGCAAAGCCCAAAACTGCCTCTGCCGAATTGTTCACATTTCGCTCCGCCTCACTCAATGGTTGCCGCGCCATTTTGCCCGATTGTCGGACGCCCGAGAAGGCGGCAACATCGCAATCCTTCCGCGAGGAGAGCACGAAGACGTCCTGTTTGCTATTCTTCACTCGCCATCCGTCGTCACCTGCCGACTCTGATTGCCTCATTGCCGTTGTGCTCTCTTCCCTCTTGCCACTTGCGCTCACACCTTCAACCTCCACTCTCTCCTTGCCACCACACGTCCATCCTCTTGATCCGTGCTCCTCCTCCTCCTCCTGCTCGTGCTCGTGCTCCTCTTCCTCTTCCTCCTCCATGAATGCCGCGCTTCTGCCCCCCTGCATGCCAATCAGGCTTTCTGATGCAAGGTTCAAGGATAACTCTCGCAGACTGTGGCCGAGTCTGACTGAGTACTGACGCAAATCCAGCTCATTATGGGGCGATCCTAGCACCAGCGACTGGCTCAGGTGGACCAGGCTATGAGGGCATAAATGCTTTAGCGTGCAAGCGTGTGTACGAGAAAAATAAAGCAGACGTCAGGAAATAAAATGAAATAACTAGTTTAAAAGTAATACACATAAACTCATTAAGAAAGTACCACAGACATGAGTATATTCGATATAAGCGGTTTTCGATACTATCCCCAATTAACTGGTAGGATCTTAGTCACTTTAGGTCACTCAAGATAATTTAAGAACCTATATAAAAGTTTCCCCATAATTTGATGAGTATAGCTTGAATGTTCCAGCTGCCCTCTGACTTACCGTGTGGCCGGGTTGTTGAGGGGTATATTACCATGATGCTTACGATTCAATATCGAGTCCAAAGGGGGGTGCTGATTCAACCTAAGCGAGATCAGAACTGTTGTTAATTTGAGATGATATAGCCCTTCTGGAGATAAGGATAGGTGAAATTTACTGGCATCTCAGGGTTTACTCGGATCGTTGTGTGAAAACTCGACTATTAGTACTAAAATCACAATGAACCAGTTAGGGTGAATAAGTTCCTATTTAATAATTACTGATAAACCTGAAA